TTTTTTTTAAAGAAAAGAAGAAGTACCGTCTTTTTAAACAGACGTCGCGTGTCGATCGTTTCGCGTGTTGTTACAGACCCAGTGAGAGAGAGTGAGTGCCCGGCTGCTGCACTTCAGCGCGTGTTGATGTGATATTATGGCGGTGAATCTGGATAAAGACGCGTTTTACCGCCGCATCAAGCGACTCTACGGGAACTGGAAGGTACGGGGAGCTCATCTCACGGCTCATACTCACACACACTTATTCTTCTGGAAACCTTCTCTCTCACACATTCTCAGGCCTCGTCGTTTTCGTGCGGTTAGCTCCTCGGCTAACGCGTTAGCCTGTTAGGTGCGACGCTTCCGTCAAATACACCCGCGGTCCGGTCCTCGCGTCTCCTTCGCGTGACTAAAGTCTGTGTTTGCAGGTAAACGCGTTATCCGCGCGCAGAAGTTCAGTCCGCTGTAGCATTAGCCGCGCGCTAGCTCGTACTGACACATGCTGCGAGCAGAGCAGAAAACACTGTTTGAGTTGTTGTTGTTTCGACTAAAGGCCTGAGAGCTCCTCTTTCTCTTCAGCGCTGCTTCATTGCTCAAGGAATCTCGAGAGATGGAGAGATTTATGTGTATACGTTGTGTTTCTGTGATCTATAGGTTTTGTAGAATTTAAGTTATATTGTAATCTTGTAATGTAAGTGTTTAAATTATGTATTTATGGATACTTACAGTATATTATAAATGTTTACATATCATACTATTATATTACATATAATTCGATATCACCATGTGTTACAAGTGATTATTTTACTTTGTAAATTGTTATAAAATGAAATTATACCGTTATAATGTTCTATTATGTATAAAAACGATTATAATGATTTAATATACTGTATATAATCCATGTTATTTTGTTTTATATTATAATTGTTATCTGATATTATAATAGAGTTGTCATTATGTAGCTTGTACGGAAAGCCGGCAGTTATTGTATGGTAGTAAATCTAACCGTTCAGTGCTTTGAAACCCGCTTGCCCCTGTCTTTCCCTCGCAGAAAGCAGAAGATGAGTTCGGGAAGGTGGACGCCATCGTGGTTTCTGTCGGAGTCGACGAGGAGATCGTCTACGCCAAGTCTACAGCCCTTCAGGTGCAACACAACACTGCTTCTGAAATGTTAACGGCGTCCGCGCGGTCGTCTCATGTGCTCATGT